ATTTTTTCCAGCAAGAAAAAATCAGCTTCCCTGATAAAACATTAGCCCCATTTTTGGAAGGCTGATTTTAGAGAAAAAGTGTGGACTGAAAACATGCCCAGATATTCAGACGGCACCTTCAAATGATTCTTGATTACCTGAGAACTAGTCAAGAAAGGTCATGGGGATGGAGCCATTATTTTTAATTTTTTAAAATGAATCTAACCCATAAAAGAACAGATTTAACATTCAAAAACATATCCAATCCCTCCAAATATACACAAAGACAGACATCAATCTTGTATCAGTGGTGCTACTGCAACCCAAATAAATGTCCATGGAAGTCTAGCCATTTTACTCACAGGTACTTCCCTTTGTTAAGTGGTTTTTAACCTTTTCAGACTGCAGGCAGCCCTTGGAAAATGCCAGCTCTTAGTTTTCACTTTTTTTTTTGACTATATAGCAATTCTTCTGTTATAAAAAACTCAGGAAGACCACAGGTCAGAATGTTTTTGACATACTGGATTCCCATTTATAATCTCAGGGTTTATCCTGTAAATCATGTCTACAGTGGTGACATGTAAGGGGTGCATGGGGGTGCACATACACCCCCTGACCGGCCGTGCTCACCACTTAGGGAGCACTGGTGTCCCCTCTGCGATTGCCAGTTGAGAAACAGTGCTCCTGGAAGTGGCCACAGCCACAGTGATCAGCCATCTCAGGATCTCCTATCCCCTGGTCAGCAAGATTGACAGTGGGGGGACTTTCCCCCCCGTCACTGACTGGTCACTGGGGGGGGGGGGGGCATGTGCCCCCCCCCCCCGACTATAGTGGCACCAGTTGCCCATGCATGTGTACGTGTTTGCACCTAACAGTGCTAATGTTGCGGCATCCCACCACACCTTGGCATACTAGTTAAGAATAGCTGGTTTAGAGCTTCAGCAGGACACCAACAGGTTAGTGGATGCCGGCCCAACCATGATGCAGTTCACTGGCTCCAAAATGCAAGAGCATCATTGCTAATCTTGCACAATTGTAAGTCTGTCTAACCCTATCCCCACTACCTGGTTGGTCCAATGAAAGTCATCACCTTAACAAATCCTTGCCTCTCTCCTAAGAAGGAAGTAATTCAGATGAGAGCTGTGTAACATCTCTTGTAGAGTTGAATGGGGCTGTATGGCTTCTGCAAAGGATACAAGGGGCTGTTCGGCTCATCCTCTCAGATACCAACTCTAAACAGTAATGGTGTGACATAAACCTGGGGGGCCCAAGGTTTTGCAGAAGGTGGGTTCCCGGTCATTGTATCTTGGCAGTGGTGTCACACAGGAAAAAAAAGAGGGACAGCCCTATACGTGAAGCAGACTGGGCTAAACCTATTTGGTGCAAAGAGGAAACATGGGCATGTGCCAGCTGACAAACAGTTACTCTCCCCACCCGCTGTTGTTTGACGGAGCTATCGGGTACGTACCGACTGATTCCTTGGGACAGCTGAAATGATGTGAGGGTTAGAGGCCGACAAGTGCTCCAAGGCGGGAAGCCACCGAGATAAGGGTCAGGCCTATTTGCAGCATAAGGGGCAAGGTGGGCTTATGCCCACAGAGCAACGGTTACTCGCCTTTATTAGAGGGGGCTTCTGGGTGTATATCAACTGAAATAATGGGAAAAATAAAAGATAAAGCAGGGACAGGAGCAAGGTATCAGATTTAAACAGATGCCCCGAGGGGGAATGCTGAGCAGAGCCACCGGACAGCGCCCGCCGCAGTGAGTCCAAGGAGGCGGCAGACACAGCCCTGTGAAAATGCCCGGAGACGCGAGTGGCCAAGGGGCCTGTGCGCCAGGTACAGCTACAACCCTCCACCAGGGAGCCACTGGGGGCGCATCAGTGATGGCTTGGGGCAAAGAAAAGACACAGCAGGGACATGAGCGAAGGTCGGAGGGGCAAAGGCTTAAAACAAGTGCTCTCAAACCCTGCTGCCTGGGGGCGAGAGGAGAGGCCCTGAGCGGCGCATGCGCTGTCCCCGCAATCGCGGAGGCAAGAGGTGCCCGCCCCCGCGCGACCCCTGCAGGGAGGGAGCCCGAGCGCGCCCGTTACCGTGACACGCCCCGCACGCCTCCCGCCTGCGGGCCAGGAGGAGGAACGACGAATGACCCCCACTTCCGGTCAGGAGCAGCGGTCGCCCTGGCACTTCCGGTGCCGTTCGCTCCTCCGCCCTGCATGCTGGGAGCTGTAGTTCGCGTCCCTGCAGTCGACCAGCCCGATCCGTTCCCCAGCGCCGGCCGGGCCCGGGGTGGGTGGTCTTCTTTCTCTCTCTCTCTCTCTTTGCCCCCCTGCTTGCCTTTATTTCCTTCAGACTCTACCGGGGGGAACCAGCATTATGAATAAAAAGGAAGCCCTTCGCTGTACAAGGGCGAGAGGCTTGGAGGCGCTGAAGTGGGGCTGCGCAGTCGTCTGGCCCTGCTGGCTGGACAGGCAGTGCAGGGCCAGTCAGTGGGCCGGGTGTGGTCCTGCTTGGCTCTGTGCTGCGTTGCTCTGCGCTGCTGTGGGTCATTGTGCTCTGCCCCGTGCCCCTCCGCACCGCCCTGATTCGCCCTGTGCCAGTCCACGCTCTCTGTGCCGCCCCGATTAGCCCCAGGCTGCCCAGCCGGCCTCACTTAGCTGATGCCATGCTGCCCTGCATGGCCTCGCTTAGCCTCACGCCACCTCATTTGGCCCCAGGCCCTCAGTCTCGTGCACAGGGCTATGCTATTCAGCCCTTCAGGCTCTCCCTGGGTTCAGAAATTTGATGGCAGGAGAGTCACTATTGGCCACCACAGCTCTTCCTGCCACCATATTTTCAGAAGTCAGGGGGAGCCCTGTGGGTTGGATAACATGGCTCCGTAGGCTGGACCTGGCCCGCAGGCCCAGGGTTGAATACTTCTACTCCAAGGTTAGGAATCCAGGGTGAAATCCTGGCTTGGCTGAAATTGGTGGGAGTTTTGCCATTGACTTCAGTGAGGCTAAGATTTTACCCCTAGGACCTAAGCTGGGCCTTGTCTGCAGAAAAGAAGCATGTACTTCTCCGTGAAAGATGAAGCAGTTAATGACAAGCACTGGCCCCCTCTTCAGTTCCGGTGTTTTGTTCGTGCAGCCTCCTTCTGATGGGATCCAGCAGCCCCTAACTGGTAGATAGATCCCAGCATCTTAGTTTGGTAATGGGAAGGCAAAGAGAGGAAGATGCTTTCCCACAAGGTCACAGTGCTGCTCCACACTCTAAAAGCAGGGGTGGTATGGCCAGAGCGCTCGTAGATGTCAATCTTCTTTCTTTCTGAATGCTTCATTATTCTGCTTTTGTGAGATTATCCCCACTCACACAGGTCAGAGCTATCCAATTTGTAAGCAGTTGGCGGTTGAATGTTCCCTGGGCTTGTTGCATAAATTGCTGATTTTATCCCCTGGAGGCT